CAGGAGGGTTTAAAAGAGGTGGTCTTGCAGCAGCTGGTTTCACAGCACGTTGGTTGGCAGCAGAGCTGAAGGAGGCTAGGCTGGCAGCAGGTGGGCACGCAGCAGATAGTCACACAGGTTGGCTTGCAACAGTTGCTGTCACAGCAGGTTGGTGGACAGCACAGCTGGAAACAGCTATTGCCAGTGTTGGTGCTGTTGCAGCAAATAGGCTTGGAGCAACAGGGTGTGCTACAGCAACTTGGGGCACAGCAAGGCTGGCAGCAGATGAACACAGGGCAGCTGGATTCAGAGCTGCTGGTGGTCTTGCAGCAGGTGGTCTTGCAGCAGCATGGCTGACAGGTGTAGGTCATGGTGTCAGGAGTGGAGGGTGATATTCTGTTCCCAGGTGAGTCTTCTACAATGTACCAAGTTCTTCCAGTCAGGGCCTTTTATACAACAAGCCTCTCAGGTTTGGACCAATCAGAAAGACCATTCCTCCTTGTTAATAATTTTTCATATTTAATTTGTGTTCATCAAAGAAGAATGTCTCATCCAATGCTCTGAATCATTTGAAAGCATTCATTACTTATCTGGTGATAGGTTACTTGAAGTTTTTTCAATAAATCGGTGGATCATCCCATCAGCTTTATTTTAAGTCTGATGGTCATCTGGGCCTTTGTTAGTTTCTGATTGTATGGAAGGTCAAGATCATTCTTGTCACTTTCTTCCTGTATCTCTACTTAGATGTATAAATGTTTCTGGGGATGAGTGTGCTGTATTCACAATCATGGACTCAACACCTTTTTCCCTGTCTGTTTGCCCACAAAGTCCACTTCCAAACTGTTCTAGTTGTCAATCTGTGTGTAAATTCTTTTCTCTGTGTATCTGAGGAACAGTGAAGGTTCTTTGAGATCGGGCTTCTGGAATAATGTGTTTCATAGCAGAGTAAACCAGGACTGGTGGATATGTAAAGAAACTGAACGTTAGGAATAAGGAAGCATCAGGCAATTTGTGGGTGACCATCAGTTCTGACTTTCTCTACTCCTGGGGTGCTAGGATGACCCACAAGTATGTATTTTCTGTCTATGCAAACGTGTCTCTGTGTTCTGGATTCTTAATTGGAGCTGGCCAGCAACAGGCTAGCAGGATATGTAAATGTAGCTTCTTCAAATGCCTATAAAACAGAGACAAGCTGCTGTGTTGAGGTCAGGAAGCCCCCAAAGCCAAGGGATTGTGTAAGGAGTGTGACTTTTGCATAATAAAGGGCTAGAAGCTTGGAGCTGGGGCCACTGGAAGAACTAGCAGAAAAGTTGAGGGGATATGAGGGGGGGAGGGAGGGAGGGAGGAAGGTGTAGAACAGAGAGAGACACCTGGAGGGAGGTAATGGCAGAGAAATCCAGTTAAATTAGAATCAAGCTGAATGATGGCCCAGAGAAAGGCTACCAGCCTTAAACTATACAGATACCTCGTCTCCATGTGTGTATTGTTAAATCTCAAAGGGGATCTCTAAAATCCCCAGAATACTGAGGCCATCATGAGAAGGGATTGCATTTAGGTTCAGATCCAGACAAACCAGGGTGAGCAGGTGACTCCAGTGCACACCTGGCTAGCAGCAGTGTCAGGGATCTTGGACTGGTGGTGATCTTTTCCCTGTTTTCACTCTACCTGACTCTCTTTATGTGTATTCCCATTTCTCTTTGTCTGATCTTTCTCCTTCACTTTCTTCAGTTTTATTTCTTTCCTCTCTATTCAATGAAAGGATCATGATTATTTGAGACATATGTAATTTATTACCTTTTTTATCTGTGAGAACTAAGATATACGTATTTTTCTCTTTTTCCTCTCTCTCATTTTCTGTCTTTCTCAGTACACTATGCATACTACTAAGGATTATTTCTATATACTATTTCTATATTATATATATATATATTTCTGTATATGCTAATGGGTTAATTTCCCATTTAAAAGAATAAAGGCAAACACAGCCATATCATGATCAAAGGAATGGAAATTATCACTCGTCCTTGTAAACCATCTCCTGTCTCCATTCCCACAGACTGTTTCTATTGACATCCAGGGTCTTTCTCCTGACTTGACATCACTTTTAACATATTTGCCAATCAAAATTAGTCTTTGCTTATAGGATAGTTTGGATTGTCTTCACCCTATGACCACCAGTTTGTCCCCTCTCATTTCTGTGTAATATTACAGTGAATGAAGTTGACACAGCTCGTTGGTTGGTGTCGGCTCCCCTAACCCCCACTTCTGAGAAAACAAGTTGTTTACAGTTTGGGACTATTCAAAACCATCCTGCTAAGAATGTTTCTGTTTTAAATGCTATTGCTGGATGTACACGACAAATTCTCAGAAATCTATGAGGGTGACCCTACCTTAGATTCCTAGCAATGGGGGATATGGTGTTGTTTTTAAAACAAAAACCAAGCAGTCCGGTTTTACCCATGAAGACTCAGGAGCCAGATGCTGGGGTGAAAACTTACTAGTTGAGCTGACCTTCCTATTCCACCAATGTCCCAGAAGGAAAAAGCTCTTTCTCCTTCTCCACGCTGTCTTAAATACCTTTCTACCCAATGTCCCTCCTTTGTGTTCACTTATGTTCACTCCCTGTCAGCTGGTTGCTTGCTCTGCCTCTTGACTTAGGGTTGACTTTATTTAGATCTTAGATTAAAGCGTATGCTAGGGCTGAGCAACACCCCAACAAGATTTTTGAAGTTTTTTCCATGATCTTGGGGTTCACAATGTGATCAAATATCCTGCAACATTTCTCCTTTTGTCTAAGGTAAAAGATTGTTTCTCTAACATCAATAAATTATATACTATCTGGTAAAAATTAGGTTAACAATGTCCAATCCATTTATATTTGGCAACCTTGGAGAAAGTACTTTCTATCCTATCTTGCTAAGTCTAAAGTTCTGTATCTAAATTACCTTCTATCATAACTTGTATTTATCAACTTCAAAGCATCTTTTTACACCTTAATACATTTTCTTAAATTCTAAACAACTTAAGCTTAACTGTGAGACTATCACCGTCTAGTCTTCAACCCCACCAGAGATTTGAGAAGGATAAACATTACCTGAATAAACTGGAAGTGTAGAACAAGCAGCTTCCAAAGCTATTAAAATGGCGGAAACTGCTGACTGCCTGACAGTCACCCAAGGCTCCTTTGCAATGCTGCAGCACCCATCTCTTCGGCTCACTGGCACAGAATATCTGACAAATTTGTCTGCAAAGCAGGAATTATGAAAGACTTCTCTACCTTGTCCTGGCAGAGTTCTTTGTGCCCTGCTTGTCCACAGCTTAGACAGCATATTGTCAGCTGTTCAAAGAAGGGCAGTTTCTTACCCAGTGGTCATTTGCCATATTTGAAGCAAACTCCATAGGAGGTTCTTCAATGTATGCCATTTTCTTTGAAGTAAAATGGGGTGCTGCCAAAAGCTGAAATGTCTCATTGTAACAAAAAGGCTTAAATTAAGAAAACATCTTTAAATGCCATATTCTACAGATTTCTGATGTTTTTGAAGACCATCTAACCATCTCAGTATATTTGAATAGGCAAATATTGCTTGTTTCTAGCTATTTACCATCTGATTAACCTAGAATACATGTTATTAACTAAACTAGTACCTAACAAAACCACGAGTGGAAACCTAGAAGATTACTGTTAGGAATGGTAGAAAGTCTATACATTTTAAATGCCATATTCAGCAGATCTCAAAAGTATTGACGACCATTATCGATTAAGGACATCCAAGGTACACCAACTTTGTCCCTAATTATTTGTTCCAGACTCACACTTGAAAGCAAGTATAGGGAGGTAGATGAAATTTATTACTAGAATTAGTTAATACTCTGTATGACAACTAGTATCATAAAAAAGTTTATGTATATGTAATAAAATTATACATTCTGAGAAAAAATTTAGAGAGTCAAAAAGATTATGAGATTAGTGGCAATAGAATAGTCTCTTATTTGTCCTATACCAGATATGGTATGTCCTCTTTTGATATGAGACAGAGATTTTGAATTTTCCTTTAACAAGTATATATTGATTTAGAGAAGGAGAGAATCATGCTCCAACCCTAAAGTCAGCTTTAATTTTTAATTGAATTGGGACCACATAAAAACCATTTGCCACTTATGTCTGTAGCGGACAGTGGTACCAATTTACTCTTTTTCTTGGGACATTTTCTCTTGATTATCTGTCCTTTTTCTTTACTTGTTCAGTGGCCTCCAGATTCTTTAGTTGGATGCTTTATTCTCCTGGAAAGATAAAAACAAAGCCCTAACCCTTACTTGGGGCTGGGGTGGGGTGGAGGTTCCTTTTTGGCAGGTTATATCTTTCCTAAAGCAAATATTTTTGGCAATAGAAAATATATATTCTCTCTCTCTCTCTCTCTCTCTATATATATATATATATATATATATATATATATATATATACATATATATATATGTTTAAGTGTATTTATTTTTAAATCACAAGGAACATTTGTTTGAATTTCAGTCTGCCTTTTGCAAGCAGCTTTTAAATTTGAATCATCGTAATTCTTAAATGACTGCCCTTGCCTCCCAAGTATGGGATCATAGGTTGTGCCTTGCAAGTGTTGGGATTAAAGATAGAAACCAATACCACTTTGTTCACTGTAACTCTAAAATCTAGAAACCAAATAATTTATAGAGATCTTGTCTCTGCTGGGATGAAAGGCATAGGTTACCACCACCCTGCTCAAATATTTTATCTTAGCTCCAAATCATTTCAACCCTTAGAGACTTAGAAAACACAAGTTTGAACTGTTGTAACCCTTTGAGTTTACTTAAAACATTTTAAATCTCTTACCTGTGCTCAAGAGCTAACGTCTAAGATGGTGTGGATGGTGTGGGCTATGTGGCCATCTACATTCTAACATTCTAACAGAATTAAAACAGATGAATTAAGAAAACCAAGTTTTCATTTCATGCCAGTAAGACAAATGCCTTTGGTAAATTAACTTTAAAGGTAGGGCTGTTGGTACCCTTGAAAGATCAGCTCATGTTGTGTCCTGATTATGGACAACTTGGACAGTCTGTGACTGTTCTTGATAATATCATTTAATGGTTTTCTCAGAAGCCTTCTTTATTTTATGATTTGCTTCCGAGATTGGAGGAATGCTAATCTGTGTTTTCCATTGCTGCAACAAGTCACATACCTATAAATTCATAATTTACCTATTTGTCCTCCTGGTTCTATACATTTGACCCATCTTGCACATTGTTTTATCTGGCATAAAGTTCCAATCCCTAGAAGCTGAATATTTTTCTCCTGAAGAGGCCAATCTGGGTGCCAAGATTTTGGTGAAATTATTTCTATATC